TAAAATCCACTCGAGGGTCCGTTGCCCACGGCACCTATGCTGCGTCAGAAGCCACGTCCATGGGAAGCCTCTTAGGGCGTCATTTCACATTTTCCTTCAAGAGAGGCAGCCCGCTCACCAGCAGTGCCGCGGACCTGCTGGCCCACACCTTTGCTACAGGAGCGGCCCCAGTCCCTGGCGGTGTGCTTACCTTTAGTCCTGGCCACAGCACAGGCAGAGGGTCAGCGAGATGCCCGTGGCGCAGAGGCGGTCATGAGGACACAGGTGCAGACCCTCACATCTGCCTAGTGCCTTTCCTCTTACTCAGTTCAGCTCCTTTTCTCTGCCTGTTGAGGTCTTCTTGAGGTGTGACTCTTCCATCCGATACGCGTATGACTTTAGCCTCCCGCCACTGCTGTTTAATTTTACAGGTTTCCCCCACCATGCCAAGGTAGAGAGATCCTAGGAAACCTTCCGTAATATAAAACGGCATAAAGCGAAGATGCAACTACTAGTCACTTACTGGAAAAATCTCTTGAGTGTTCCCAGACACCCTCCCCCAAAATAATCTACCAAATCATACCAAATACCGGACCCAAACCAAACTCCCTGCCGATTCTGACTCACAGCAACCCTACAGGGCAGGGTAGAACTGCCCCTGTGGGTTTCCAAGACTGTGAGTCCTTACTGGAGTGGACAGCCTCATCTTTCTCCCGCAGAGCAGCTGGTGGGCTCCAACTGTTGACCTTGCAGTTAGCAGCCCAACTCATAACCCCTACGCCACCAGACTCCTTGTGAAATAGCAGAGAGAAGCTACGACGGCTCTAACCGCTGGGAGCAGCCTGCTGGGGTGAGCGCGCAGGCTAGAAGAGATGGCTGTGCAGTCCGGCTCGGAGCCAGGAGCTCGGCACCGCCTCTCTTGCCGTCGGGCATGCACGCTGCACGGCAAACACTGGTCGCTAGTTTCCATCGTTGCCCTTTTCGGTTGTTGTAAAAGTGAAAATTCCCTTCAGATGTCTTTCTGCTCCTGAAAACAGGTCCCAATGCAGGTCTTTCATAAAAGTGAATGGCATAAAGTGAGTTTTTGAAACACGGGGGATCGTAGTCTCTGGACGTTGGATGTGCGGTTGCCCTGTTTTCATTCAAGTCCTTAATAAAAATGTCACCTACAGGTGGGACTCCAAGGTGTATCGCTACCTCCAGGTTGACATGGGTCCCCTAATGAACACCTCGGTTACAGCAGCTCGGAAAATGGGACTATGCCTAATTATAGTATTGCTCAGCCTCCATGGCTTTATCGATGGGGACATCGAGGGAGGCCCTGACAGAAGCTGCGCTCACGGTGGACACCTGTCTTCCACCTTCCCCTAGGTCTCCGGATTCCTGGGGGAAGGAAGGGCAATTACTCTGCCCTTTGTTCTTGGTGACCTTTAACAGCTGTATCAATGATTTCCCCCTGAATTGGTGTGTGTGTGTGTGTGTGTGTGTGTGTGTGTGTGTGTGTGTGTGTGTAATCACATCTTTAATAATGTCTTGCCCAACTTGCAGAGTGAGCTGACACACATAGGTGGGAGAATTGCCTCTTCCTGTCTTGACTTTGGGATACTTGCCCTTCTCCAGTTTTCTGAGACCCCTCTACTTCTCCATCTTTCTGACTGGATGGTCAGGTGACTCCTTGGCAATCCCAGGACAGTTCAGAGCCAGAGAGAAAATTATTTTAAGAAGTTAGAAAAAATAAAAAAGAAGTTAGGCACATTCCTTCTGTCTCCAACTCCTCTTAGACCTTGATTTCCATTCACCACTTTACAGTCTGAACGTCTTTCTCTTTTGTTCACTCGTTTGTTTTGATTGTGCGCTTCTGCCCCGGGCATTGGGTTGGGCACCCTGGAGAGCAGGTCTCCCCTGGCGCTTGCCTTCAGGGGGCTCTTCACTCACGCACTGCCACAAGTCCATTCTGATTCATAGCAACCTGTAGGACCAGGTAGAACCGCCCCTGCAGGTTCCCGAGACTGTAAATCTTCACTGGAATAGAAGGCCTCGTCTTCCTCCCATGGAGCGGCTGGTGGATTCGAACTGATGACCTCGTGGGTAGCAGCCCCGCTGGTCATCCATTCCCCAACCAGGGCTCTTTTCATGACTTTAGACAAGCCTTAAAAAGTGGAGGTGAGTGTTGTCCTGGCAGGGGACATTGACGGTGCTGTGGGAAGACCTTCCGTTGGTAGGCCAGAGAAGATTCAGGAAGATGCTATACTGGAGCCGAGACCTAGGGCGCCATTGGAGTTAGCTTGGCGAGCAGGTGAGATGAGGGGCGCTGCAGGCCCTGTGTCTAAAAGGTGAAGAATGAAGAGGAGATGACACCACACAGACAGACCACAGAGAGGACAGAGGACGGCAGCATGCCAGAGTGAGAGAGACGAGAGATGCAAGGACGAAAGAAAGTGGGTGGAGGGGGACAGCAGTCGGGGTAAGACATGTAAAAAAGAATTATAAGTTATCAAGGGTTCATGGGGAAGGGAGGGGGGAAATGAGGAGCTGATACCAAGGGCTCAGGTAGAAAGACCTTCCTTTGGAAAAGATCATGGCAACATACTACAGGTGTGCTTGACACAGTGGATGAATGTATGGATGGTGATAAGAGCTGTAAGAGCCCCCAGTTGAAAAAGAGAGAGAGATGCAAGAGAAGTGAGCTTAGAGATACACACAGGTGGGGACACCAGCCTTCTGGGTCTTATGAGCTGTGATAAAGGGCTGTGGGGGCAGCCATGAGGACCAGCTAAACCCAAGCAAAGCTGAGTTTGAGGTGTCCCTACAGGTCTCTCCGCTAGTGGGCGTCCTGTTTGACCATAACTGAGAGAGCTTCCTTTTCTACCTAGACTTTTGCGAATAAGCTTCTGCCCATTCTCTGCCCCGGCCTTGCTGTTGTTCACAGCCCCTTGGCCCTGTCTCCTTGTGGCCGCATGGGCCTCAGGAGCCCACAGCATGGTTTCAGCAGCTCCTCTCTCCTCCTCCGTGGCCGTCCACTCTGAGTGATGGTTCGCCAGCCTTTCCTCCTTCTTGGCACCTTCTCTTTCCGCTCCTCCCACCTCTCCTCGCCCTGGATGCTGCCGGTCAGGCTAAGCAACCCCTCTTGCCTGGTCTTTCCATCCCAGCCAGACTCGAAGGCAGGGAGTCACTCTTCACACCTCTCCCCGGGTGCTGCTGCTCCTGCTGCTTCACCTAGCGCCAAGACCTGTCAGGTGTTCGGCTTTTAACGTAACCCTGCAGTAGATGTTGGGGGAATGAATGTCTTCATGACTTTCTTCTGCTCCGATTCAGATGTCAGTATCCAAGAGGGAATTTTCCGTGTTTCCCATGGTCATGGGCGGTGATGTCCCCTCCTAAAGAACCCTCATTCCCTTCTCCTCCCCAGCTGCGGTCCCCTTGGCATGCTCGCTCTCAGGGTTACGCATTGCACCTCCAGCTGCTTCTTCCTGTCCTCTTGGATCACACGTTGTTGTGATTTGAATCTCTGTTTAGTTCCCTAAGTGCTCAGGCATACAGTCTCCCTGTGAAAAGGAAAACATTGTGGCCCCTCCCTTTCCCCATCCCTATGGGCCTTCATCCCATGAGCCCTTTGGTGCGGGTCCCTTCAGAGCTTTGCTTCCTGTTTTCAACCACAAACAGGAAATCACAGGGCGGGGGAAGGACTGCCTAATCCTGCTTTGTACTTTAAAATGTACTCACCTAAACAGTTCTGCACCACACATTCTTTTCTGGAATTCACCTGTTTCCCTCCTCATCGGCATCCTTTAGAAACCTACCCACATGAATCCCTATCGATCTGCCTTGCACTTCTCTGAACTCGAGTAGATACAGCATTCCATGATTCGCCACTGGAACGTGTGTGTTTTATTTCTCCTCCAGTTTTCACTCCGTCAACACCCATTCCAAAATTTTGAATCCTAGCACTGTGATGGGTGGAGGTCTGGCTTAATTTGCACTTACCTGGTAGCCAGGGAGGCGGAGCACATTTCCATACATCTGTAGGGCATGTGTGTCTCCCTGCTTGTCAATGATCCATAGTCTTTGTTTGTTTGAAGCTATTTGATTCTTTGTTATTGATTTAGGCATTCTTTTTAATTAAAAGATCATTTCATTGCAGGCTCTAACAACTCTTATTACAATCCACACCTCAATTGTATCAGGCATAGTTGTACATATGTTGGCATCATTCTTGTCTAGACCTTTACTTCTATTGAGCCCTTGGGATCGGCTCCTCTTTTTACTCTCCCCCTGCCACCCTGGTGGCCCCTTGATAGATTATAAATTAATATTATTTTCATATCTCACACCAACTGCTGCCTCCCTTCCCCCATGGTTTCTGTTGTTCATCCCCCTGGAGGGGACTGTGTGATTATGTGTCAATCATCGAGATCAGTTTCCCCTTCCTCCCCACCTTCCCCCTACCATTCTGGTATCCCTATTCCCATTCCTGTTCCTGGATTCCGTGTGTCCTGAGCTCTTATCTCCTAGCTGCACCTGTGCACATGCTCCAGTCTAGCCCACAGTGAAAGGCAGGACTGGGGTCATGACAGTGGGGGGTAAGGAAGCCTCAAGGAACCAGAGGACTACTGTGCGTTTCATCGTTGCTTTACTGCACCCTGATTGACTCATCCCTTCCCTGAGACCCCTCTGTCAGGGGACGTCCCATTGTCTACAGATGGGCTCTGGATCTCTGCTCTGACACCCCCTCATCCTAGGCATTCTCTATGTATTGACAGGATGAAGCCTTTGTGAGGAAGATCACACATTTTTTCCCACCCCCTTTCCTCGCCTTCAAATCTCTTAGAAATTTCCTCTATTGGATCAAAGCTTTGTGGCCCTTTCAGGTCTTTGAGAGGCAGGACAGAGATCTTGCATGGACTTGGCAACCAGGTTCACACCTGGCCCTCTGAAGCCAGAGGCCAGAAGCCAAGAGGATTCTCTCCCAAGAGGAATTTGGCAAATAGCTAACTTCGCACTCTTCTCTCCTGGGCCCCAAGGTGCTCCAGCCCCCAGTTTGCTCATCCTCACCCGACATGTGTGAAGAGGAGACCACAGCACTCGTGTGCGACAATGGCTCCGGCCTGTGCAAGGCAGGCTTTGCTGGAGATGATGCTCCCCGGGCTGTGTTTCCCTCCATCGTGGGCCGCCCTCGCCACCAGGTGGGTGTTCTTCCGGATCCAAGGCTTCAAGTCCACTCTGAGTGCATGCTGCATCTTGGAGATTGTGCTGAGCTGTGCGTGCACGTGCGTGTGCACACGCGTGCGCTCTGGGGGCCAGGTTGAGAGCTCCCTTTTCTGAATGACTAATAGGGCAAGACCCTTTAAAGTGGGATGTCCAAGGCCTGAAACAATATCCTTCAGATCCATAATATGGGTATGATGTCAGGCTTGTTTTAGGAGTTGATAGAGAGAGAGAGAGTAGTACCTTATTTTATTGTACATATTTATAGATCTAATTATTCTATTGATATATTTTAAAATATATTTAATTACATAATTGTTTTGATGGTGTGTATTTAATATATTAAATCGTATGTTTAATTTTTATTTTAATAAGTATCTATAACATTTATATATAACATTATATAATATGAACATATAAAAGTACATTTAAGGTATGCGATCAGCCCCTTGTTTTTAAGATATCTACGCTCTGGGAAACCATTGCTCAGCTAACGTCCTCGCTTGAAATTCTGGGCTGACAGAGCGGAAGCCGACATCATGAGGGGAACAGAGAGGAGGGAGATTGAATCAGAGCCTCGGGACTAGGAAGGGGAGGAGGGAGATTAAATCTGAGCAGAGGACCCAGAGCAGACAAGGAATAACGGAGGACCAGGAGCCTCACAGCCAGTGGGGAAGCCGCAGGAGCAGCGATGGCGGGGATAGAAGAGCGCTGACCCAGGCTATCTGAGACTGTCCAGAAGAGAGCCTCCTGTCCTTGTCACCTTCATGCGCACGGTATCGGTCCCGCCCTTACCTCCCGGAGAAGAAGGGCTCCCTTCCTACCCTCATTCCTCTTCAGAGACCCCACGCCCATGTCCCTTCGTGTCCAACCCTCGGCCAACGCATCCCCCTTCCTCCTCTCGCACTGCAGGGCGTCATGGTGGGCATGGGCCAGAAAGACAGCTACGTGGGGGATGAGGCGCAGAGCAAGCGCGGGATCCTGACTCTCAAGTACCCCATCGAGCACGGCATCATCACCAACTGGGATGACATGGAGAAGGTATTGGGGGACGCCCCTGTCACGTGCTGGGTTTATTCTTTTCCTGCCGTGCTTTCAGTACAAGCTTAATGTGCTTATTTCCTGCTCTCATAGCACCATGAGCCTCCTATCCCACAGGCCCCCTGTGCCCTGTCCACTCTGGGTCTCCTGAGTCCTCCCCCCTGCCTTCCCAGTCCACGGACTCTCTCACAGGGGGCCAGCCCCTCCCCTGGCCGGTGTCCCCGTGTCCTGCCCTCGGCCACCCAATTAATTCTCCATTCTCCGCCAAGCTTATCTTTCTTAAAACAGACCAGGCCCTGTCAATCACTTCTTCAGCAGCTCTTCGCTAATCAACAGTCGATGCCCCCTAACTCTCCCCATTGTGCTAGGGGAGAGGGCCTGTCCTTAGATGCCCTGGCGCCCTTCCCACGACCTTGTGCAAACAGAAGGAGACGGTGCCTGGTCGGCGCCATCCTCACCCTGGTTATTATGTTTGAGCCCATTGCTGCAGCCACGGGGTCAGTCCATCTCCTTGACAATCTTCCTCTCTTTCACTGCCCCTCTGCTTTACCAAACACCATCCAGGGGACGATTCTCTGCTGACAACAGGCCCAAAGTACAAGAGACAGAGTCTCACCATCCTTGCTTCTAAGGAGCCTTCTGGCTGTACTTCTTCCAAGACAGAATTGTTTGCCCTTCTGGCCCTGCCAGATGCCTCCTTTCTTCCTTTCAAGCAGCCTGCCCTCTAGCTCCAGCCTGCAGGGTCAGGCAGGGAGTGTCCTCAAAATCCCAGTGCTACCGTGGGAGAAGTGAAGGAGCCTCTTTTCTTTTTGACTCCCTACCAGGGCTTCAGACCAGTGCCTTGGTGCTGTATCATGATGATGACTATCTACTGAAAACTTTGAGTAAAAATATAAAGAGGTTTCTAGAACCTTTTTTCCCCCCTAAGAAAGTGGGGGCGGGCAGGTTTTAAATGGCAGCATTTGCGATAAAATAATGGGTGCAGGTAGAGATTGATCTCATGTTCTTTTCAGAAGTTCAGCTGAGAGCTGTCTGAGCGCTCTTGTTCTTGCAATGTCAGTGTCCTGAAGCCTTAAAGAGTGGGTTTATGGAGCAGACTACAACTTGGAAGAGAGACTGTAGATATGAGATCTGTCATGCATGACTGCTCTCCAAATGCTTGATTCAGTCCCTGGTGTGAGCCAACCCTGGGCCATGCAAGAGCGTTCGCATCACCCGGACCTTGCAGTCAGCAGCAGAGGGGCCTGGCTATAGCCCCCTCTGCCACTTGGGGGCTTCAAATGTGGGCAAGTTCCTCAGACTCTCTAACCTTGGTGTTCCTGTCTGTGAAAGGGTTTCTTCCTTAGGTTGCTGTGAAGATCAAACTAGGTAAATGCTTAGCCTCACCCCAAGGCGTGAAACAGACATGTACTTAATGCTCACAAAATAACACGTTATGAAGATAGATATACACATACATCCATATATAGCATTATCTAATTTTAAACAATCAGAGACAAAATATTTTGCTCCTGGGGTAATACTGTGTGAAATCTTTAAAACTCACCACCATCAGTCAATGCAGAGGAAGAGTGACCGTCTTGGGCAGGGCAGAACTGCCCCTGGGGGGGTTGAGCCTGTAAGTCTTTACAGGAGTAGAAAGGCTCAATTTCCTCCTATGGACTGGTTGGTGGTTCCAAACTGCTGACCTTGAGATCACAGGCCGATGAGGAACTGATGACATCACCAGGGGTCCTGGGAAATCTTTAAAGGACCCCCTAAAATATACATTGTGTGCTTTAACCGGAAGACTGAATACAGCGGAAGCGTCCATGCTCCCCAAATTAATGGATATACCCATGGCCAGTCAAAGCCAAATCTCACCATTTTTAATTAGGCAACATCATCCTAAAGCATGTTTAAAGTGAATTTTAAAATGATGAAGGGAGAGTGTTGATGTCCAGTTACTAGAGTCTCACAAACCCTCCCTGAAGGGACGTTGATCCTGACTCAGGGGACCTTCTAGGACAGCGTAGGCCGCGCCGTAGGGTCCCTGAGGCTGGAAACCTCTAGGGGAGGAGAACACTTCATCTTTCTCCCGGGGCGTGCCTGGTCGGTCCTAGGCTAGCAGCCCAGTGCTTAACCGACCCCGGTGCCACAGGGCTCCTGGATTATGACTGAGGTGTGCAAGCTCCAATCTGTTGGTAGCGGCACAGAGGCAGGTAGAAAATCCAGAATACAGGAGATGTCCCAACACCCTGAGGACAAACATGACCAGTCAATGACTTTTTTCCGGGAAAACGGATTAACTCTTTGGGGGAGTAAGCATCTTCATGTGCAAAAATTCAGATATGAGGCTTTATCACGTTTCTGATGAAAGAAGTTAGAAAAAAAAAAGAATGATCATTTGATTTCATAAAAATCAAAACTTCTGGTTTGTCAAAACGAGCCCTGGTGACACAGTGGATTACGCTTTGGGGTGTTCACCGCCAGATCAGCAGTTTGAAACCACCAGCCGCTCCTCGGGAGAGAGGCTTGCTACTCCTGTAGAGAGAGAGGTCCCGCTGGGAAACTCGCCGGGCAGTTCTGCTCTGTCCTGTGGGGTCGCTGTGAGTCAGAGCTGACTCAGCGGCAGTGGGTTTGCATTGTTTTGTTTGAGTATGTAAAAAATAAAACCAACTTTCAAAAGAAAGTGCTTTAAAAAAAATCCAAAATAGGTGCAGTGGAGGATTAATATAAATGAAAACAAAACAGGCCCTCCTCCTGGTGACGCGTTTGTCTCAGAACTTGTCTGGGGTGCAGTTGGATGGGTCGAAGTAACCACAACCCTGTAAATATCAACTAATGCAAACGAATCATTAAAAATATAGTGTTCCCCAGAGAAATAACCAAGGACCAGAACAGAAAATTTACCTAATTGAATTTATAAAAGTTGCAAATGTGAGAAGACTTAACTGCATTTGAGACAAATTAAAAAATGCAAACAACTAGGTATCTTTTTTTTCTTTTCCTAATTTAAGAACGAAGCTGTGTGTGCAGGCAAGGGGCTGGGACAGCAGACACATCTGTCTGCTCTCTTTGTTGGTAACAAAAATGTTTTCTAACTGCCACGTCCCCAAGCCCAGTAATTCCACTTCTAGGATTATTTTCTTTGGGAAAGCTCCTAAATTGGGGGGTGTGGGGGAAAGGTAAGATGTCTAACAAGAGTATCTATATAAAAAATTTGGAAGACACCCTGTGATTACCTATCTGATGATAGAAGCATTTGCTCAATGGATTCAAAAGAAATCTTTCCAATAAAGGGAAGTTATGGTATATTCACTGAGGACTGGCCAGAAACAAATTTGAACATAGAAAGATCACTAAATAAACATTCAAGGAGCTCTTTGGGGTTGTCACATCTGAAGAGAACCTACTGGTGTTGAGTAGGTAGAGGTCAGGGTGCTGTAAAAAGTGCTAAAGCGCACAGAAGAGAGCAGCCCCACCCAAACAAGGGTGCTGTCCTACAGGGTGGCCAGGAGTCAGATGGGGCAGAGTGACAGAGAGGTCGTGGTGGTGGTGGTTTGAGACAATCTCAGCAGCGGTGAGATTGAAGGCACCCTGCAGACAGCACCAGCCAGATCAGTACTAAGCAGGGAACTCCGAGCTCAAGCACACCTGCTGGATTTGCATCCATTGGGTCTTTGACATTAACTGAAGGAAGGGCTTCTTAGAGAGGTGTGAACAGGGCTAAGCAGGGTTAAGGCCGCCAGAAAGTGGTGTTGAGATGCCCAAGTGGTTAGTACCAACAGTGGGAAGAATTTGGGGGTGAGGGAGAGAGGGGCAGTGTTACTGGAGCTCAGGGAGAGCTGTGTCCTCACGCCCAAGAGGAGCTCAGCCCAGACAGCCAAGAGCCAAGACCATTGCCAGGGGAAACACCCTACCCCACCCTCTTCTCCCCTCCCACCCTCTAGCTTCTTGCTGACTTTTCTTTCATCTACCAAACTCAGTCGGGAGCCCACCAGTGCTGAGTGAGGCCTCGGGGCCTGAGCCCTAGGGCACAGAGCAAGAGCACGATGGAGAAGAATTAGGAAGGCAAGCAGTCAAATGGGCATCACCAACACACACAATGTGCTGCTCCCGGGTGTGAGCCCGGTCTGGGGTCCTGGGAAGGGCCTCTAATCTCAGTGAGAACCTCCGCAGACTGACCGGCCCGCCCCTTCCGGCCACACTCCTTCAGCACCGGCTGGTCAACCAGACTCCCCAGCCCCTGGGCAGTCTGCGGGGCTCACCTGCCCTCTTTCTCAATCAGATCTGGCACCACTCCTTCTACAACGAACTTCGGGTAGCACCTGAGGAGCACCCCACCCTGCTCACGGAGGCGCCCCTAAATCCCAAGGCCAACAGGGAGAAGATGACACAGGTGAGAAACCTGCAGGCCCTAAGTACTGGCACCAGCAGCCACAAGAATGCTGGGCCAGGCCCTGCCTCCCATTTAGGGCCCAGCAAAACAGGCCTTCCTGGGAACCTACTGTGCACGTAGAAGGTAGTCCACGCCAGGCCCTGTGGAGGGAGGGGCTGGGGATAAAGGAGAAGTAAGAAATCATCTTTCTAAAATTGATGGTGGTGATGATTCTACAACTCTTCTCAGTGTGACCCAACTCTTGAATTGTCTGATAGGTGAATTATATGCCAACAAAGCTGTTGGGTGGGGGGGGGGGGGGGGGAGTCCTTAATGAGACTGCAAACAATTAATTATGTAGCTCGAGAAGGGCTGTGATTTTTGTCAGCTCATCCTTTCTTCCGCGTTGTCCTTTTCAGATCATGTTTGAAACCTTCAATGTCCCTGCCATGTATGTTGCCATCCAAGCTGTGCTCTCCCTCTATGCCTCTGGCCGCACAACCGGTGAGCAGCCCTGCGACCCACTCCTCGGCAGACACAGGGGATGTAGGGAAGAACCGACTCGCTGAAGAGGGGCTCCTCCCCTAGCTCAGAAGAGTCAAAGAAACAGCCAAAGTCCAGGGACAATCTTGTTTAGTTAGCGTTTACAGTTGGGAGAAGCCATGTGGGATGCAGATGTGCGTCTAGCAATGTTGCTAGGAAGTATTAACACAAACGAGCCCTAACTAAAAGAGCCTTACTTCCTCTGGGGGGTGTCTCAGGGGCCATCCCCTGCCAACCTACCTCATGTGCAGCCACCGCCCATCTGTTCCTGCAGGCTGTGGGTCGCTATCGAGGCTGAGCAGGATTCAAGAGAGCTTCCAGACTAAGACAGACTACAAAGAAAGGACCACATTGGCATCATGGGGAAGGAACAGGACTGGGGCTGCCATGTGTTGGGGGCCAACTTGACCGCAGCAGACACCACCACCGTCTCCCCCACACAGGCCTCCTTCCAGGAGCCTATACACGCATTCCACATGCACTGACATGTTTCTGTTTCATGCCGCCTCCGTGCGGAGCCTGTGATGATGGGAAAGTAGGTGACCTTAGTCCAGGAGGGTACGCAGGCATTCAGAGGATTCACGACAAGCTGAGTTTTAAAGGGACTTGGCAGCTTCCATAAATGTTGTTCAAACAACCCTTCCTTCAGGGAGTCATGGAGCCATCTGTCTCTCTATGCATCCACCAAATAATTCTCGTCACTCGGGTTCATATGCCCAACCCGCACCCGGCCATGGGGGTATACAAAGACAAGGCGGCCTCTGCTGTGTGGAAGCTGGCAATTTAGCAAGGGACAGGTGGCGTGAATGCCACTGCAGGTGACACAGGCAGTAAGGAGGCAATGTGTGACATGCACGGTGCTGGGCCCTGCCCTGTGGACGCCTGATCTGATGTTGGACACGTCTGGTTTCAGGCCTCATGGTGGTCATTGGCCGATGACTCCATAATTTGATGTCGTTTATCATTTCTCCGTTGTTGGGCTTTGAGACAGTCTCCCGTTTTTATTGCTTATTACAACATCTACCGTGATCGAGACTTTTGGACAGGTGTAAGTTGTAGGTTCCCATACATTTCTTCTGCATCTGGCCCTTAGGGAATCATTATATGAGCGCTAATGGTTTCTTAATTGATGCTCTTGCGGCTTCTAGGTATAGAGCCACACCATCCGAAGCTATCAACCCCACTGTTTCCTTGGGATAGTAATTCCTCCTTTTTCCTACTTTGTGCCTTATCACATTGGCTTGTGTCAGAAGGATGTGGTGGAGCATCGGACCTCCCCCAGACAAGGTGGGAGGAGTCCTGCTCCAGATGGGTCCCCTGATGGATTCCTATGAGGTGGGGGGTCAGACATGCCTCCCCCCTCCCCCCCACCTTGTTCACAACTGTGGCACCAGCCATCCTTCCCCCAGCACACTCTTCCTTCTCTGCCACCGTCAACCCTTTATGCCAGGGACCACATAGAAACTCATATACAAGACTCATGATTGTTACGGGGTTTATTGGGAAAGCAGCCTATTACAAGTCATGATCAGGAGCATTCAAGATACAATTGTTTGATTCACGTAGCCTCTCCTCAGTTGTGCCCAAGACCCCACCCTCTGGACCTGGCCTGCTATTCAGGCAAACATAGCAGGATTTTCAGCGCTGCAAACCAAGGGCCCAAAGGCACCCTGTCCCACTAGGGAGCCTCAACCTGAACACACTCCGCCCTCTTTCTCCTCGGGTTCTTCTTGGTTTCTGCTGCCTCTGTTTCTTTGCCACCGCTTCTTACTGGCTCTGGCATCACAGCTCTGTCTCCTGGATCTAAAAAGTTCAGCACGGGGATCTCAGGTCCCAAGGGAGCATTCCATGTCTGGCTCTTCATTCTTGGTGGTAGTGAGATTCCCCTTTGTCCTCTGGGGTGGTTCATTTCAAAGCCTACTACTAGGATGGCAAAACGGATCAATCCCCTGGTTAGCATTCCGTACACCTTATTTGCATGGTCCCACACCCACAAGGGTGTCCCTTGTTTACATTATGGACAAGCTATCCAATCCCCTTGGTGGACAACAAGGGCTGCACATTTGCATAGCCCTACCTGGTCATTTGGTGGGCGTTACCAAGCTTAGAGCTCGAAGGGTCACAGTCAGTCAGTCACAGGACCACAGCTGGAATGTCCAGGATAATAGCAGGTCATGGTGACGTTACAGTGCCCCCGCCCCCATTCGTTTGATTTTATCAACTGTGGGATCGAGAGATTTCTGACCATGCTGAGAAGGTTTATTTCCTTTTGTGGTTGCCTAAAAGTTTCATTAGGAAGGGATGTCTCAAAATGCTTTAAAAGCCTTTGGGGTTGTTAGTCCCTTCCGGCGCTAACATTGTAGTGGTATGTACATTTGTGTAAATTTGGTGCCTAAAGGAGATGCAGACTGTCCAGTCTCACGTAAAGAATGCGTGATCTAGCGTGACGGCAGATCGATGAGTGCGCGCTGCTGTGCCAGTGCGTCGAGGGACACAAGAAGAGGAGGGGTTCCCTGTGCCTCCCCGAAGCCCACAGCCGCATTGGGGAGACAGGAGCCATACAGTCATAAAGCCTATATGATGGTGACTCTCCTGCTGCTAAAAGAATATGATGGTCAAAGATCGTTTCATAATGGGTTCCAGAAAGAGACATGAACAAGAGTGGGCCTCTTTAAAGTTCTGTCCTCTCTGTCTTCAGGCATCGTCCTAGACTCAGGGGATGGCGTCACCCACAATGTCCCCATCTACGAAGGCTATGCCCTGCCCCATGCCATCATGCGCCTTGACCTTGCTGGCCGTGACCTCACGGACTACCTCATGAAGATCCTCACAGAGAGGGGCTACTCCTTTGTGACCACAGGTATCATTTCGACCGCTTTTCTTACTCTGGTTTGAGCTCCGAGCCAAATCTGACCTGCAATCAGACACTCTCGGCAGTGGGTGGCCCTCCTGGGGTAGTCGGGGAAGCCGTGAGCTGGGTTGGGGCCTCTGGAAAAGACCTTGTGAAGAGAGGAAGTCTTCAGACCAAGACAGCCTGAGCAGGGGACAAGGCCGGGGTCAGTGAAGCAGCTCTCGGCTGGGTCTCCTCTCAGAGGAGCCCCTCCTGCCCCAGGGACCTGGTGCCTGTGTCCCTGGTCACACCAAAATCAGTGTGTGTGGGGGGTGGGCGGGCAGGAAGAATACTCCTACATCCCATGTGAGTAGAACGGGAAGGCACATGTCTACACGGGATGTGTGTCCTGCATGGAAGGCCCAGAGTTTCGCCAGAGCAGAATGATGAGAATAAAAGGGAGAAGTTTAGACAAAGCTTAGCTTCGGACACCAGATTTGGAATCTCCACTTTAGAGATCCAACCCCCTTGCCCTCAAGTTGATGCTGGTTCATAGAGACCTGATAGAACACGGCAGACTTGACCCTGTGGTTTTCCAAGACTATAACTGTCCAGGGAAGTAAAAAGCCTCATCTTTCTCTTGCAGAGTGGCTGGTGGTTTTGAACAGCTGATCGTGTGGTTAGCAGCCCAAAGCATAACACACTAAGCCACCAGGGCTCCTCCACTTCAGATATAGGAAGAGACCCTAGTGCTGAGTGAGGGGCACATCTAGACTCCCCCTAAGAGCAAATCCAAAATAGATGAAAGAAGGCAGCCAAGCCACCAGGACTGAGTAGACACCTCTTATCACTTCTACCCCTTACAGCTGAGCGAGAAATTGTCCGAGACATCAAGGAGAAGCTGTGCTACGTGGCCCTGGATTTTGAGAACGAGATGGCCACAGCAGCCTCATCGTCCTCCCTGGAGAAGAGCTATGAGCTGCCAGATGGGCAAGTCATCACCATTGGCAATGAGCGTTTCCGCTGCCCCGAGACCCTCTTCCAGCCCTCCTTCATCGGTGAGCGCTGCCCAGCGAGCAGGGTGGAGGGGCAAGGGTTGTCATAGAGAGAGGAAACCCAGGGGTCCCAGGCGCTTTGTCTATTGTTTACACGTACCCAGGGAGGGATTACAATACACAGATAACACAAGTAGACAAAATCTAATGTCCAAAAAAACCTCACTGCCATCGAGTCAATGCTGACTCATAGTGATACCCCCCCCCCACCGTGGGTTTCCCAGACTCTGTTTGGGGGAGTAGAGAGCCCAGTCTCTCTCCCATGGAGCTGCTGGTGGTTTCGAACTGCCGACCATGCAGATTGTAGCCCAACACATAACCACTACAGCAGGGCTCATGCAGGGGTGGGGCAGTCAAAAGAGAAAGGAAAAGCAGGGTAGGACCAAAATGATGAGACTAAGGACGAGGTGAAGGCCCAGAACACCTGGGACCCTTCTTGTGTCACTTCTCATTGAGGTGAGAGACTGGATTGTGGTTCGGGGGCAACACTTGGTGCTAAATCCCGATTCACCCTCTCCAAACCTTTGGGCATGTTGCTTTCTTCAGACTTCAGATACTTGCTAGTCAAGATGGAAGGAAGGATAGTACGTGCCAGACAGAGTTATAACACGGGTTAAGGAAATGAGAGGATCATATGTCATTCAAGGGGAACTACTCTCTTGGACAGTGTTCAGGAAGAGACAGCTGTCAGTAAAAGTGTGGTATGCGACAAACCAGTGTGGTCCAGTGTGACCAGTGTGGTCCAGCGTGACACGTCCAGTGTGGTACATGACAAACCACCACCTGGACAAAGTCATACAGGCCTAAGAAATTCGAGCAGGCTCTTTGAGAAGGGGCGTGTTTGAGCAGAGTCTGAAGGAGCGTCCTTTGTGGTCGCTGGGGATGGCCGGAGGGAAGAGTGGAGAGTGGCCTGCACAGCAGAGGGTGTGGACACGTAAAAGCAGAGAGGACTGAGAGCTCTCATTCCGCTGAGGGGACAGAGGGGCAGCAGCTGACACCCAGGGGAGACTGGAAACTGTCATGCGCCATGAACCACACCGAGTACGCAGTTATTCATAGCAACCTTGGGATGTCCTGTGAGTTGATAGGAGGTTTTAGGCACCACTGAGGGCATGGCACAGTTCGTTTTGCACTTTAAGAAGAATCCGCTCCCATAGTGTGAGAGGACGTGTCAGCGAAGGTGGGTGGCTATGTGCTGGTTTGACACGGGGCCTCTCCCTGGGGGAAGATCTTAGTGCCAGGCTAAGGTAGATGGATGTCAAGCTGCAGGCATTGAGCAAATCTCGAAGATGAGGTCCAGAGCATATCCCTTCCCGATGGTAGGATTTATTGTGCAATCAGAAAGAATGAAGTGCTGGCATTGCTGGGCTGCGGATGAAGCCCGAAAGCATCATGCTAAGCGAAAGGAGCCAGTCACAAAAGACCACATCGCATACGATTCCATTTCCACGGAATATGCAGATTCGGCCACGTAAAGGCGCTGGGGCGGTGGGTGGAGTGGGGAAGGACCAGTGCCTGAGAGTAGGTGGGGCGTTTCTTCATGGGCTGCAGGAAATACTGCAGGGAACTAGATTGTGGTAGTGATTGCACCACTCCGGGACCCTTCAAAGGGTGGATTTCATGGTGTGTGGATTGTGTCTCACTGAAATGGTCAAACAAAACAAAATCCCATGGTGCAGCTCTTCCTCTAGCACTGGGCATCTGGCAACAGTGTCGAAGGCCACTCAGCGCCGGGTGTCAACAGGCAGGGTGATGGCTAGTTAGGAGCTGAGCTGATCCACTTGGGAAGTCACTGAAGGCCTGAGCTGGGGCAGTGGCAGTAACAGTGGAGCAGGGCATTCCTGAGCGAGGGTTGCTGACTAGCTACCGGGATCTTCCCCAGGTATGGAGTCTGCCGGAATTCATGAGACAACCTACAATTCCATCATGAAGTGTGACATTGACATCCGTAAGGATTTATACGCCAACAATGTCCTCTCGGGGGGAACCACCATGTACCCCGGCATTGCTGACAGGATGCAAAAGGAGATCACAGCCCTGGCCCCCAGCACCATGAAAATCAAGGTGGGTCTTGCCCTCACTCCATCCTGCCCTTTGTCCAAAGATCTTCCTCCTTGGGAGATGCTCCCAAGCAGGCGGCCACAGGCTCAGGGACATGGTGGTCTCCTGGTCAGGGTCAGAGCCCATCTCGGGGGCTCTCCGTTTCTAACACGTGATGGGCTACAGGCATGATTAGCATAGGTTCTCAAGCCTAAGTATGTGGTTGGGATCTAAGAAGGGGCTAGGGGGATTGAGGATGAAGAAATCTTAAAAGATGGAAGAGAAAAAACCAGGAAGAGGGAAGAGGAAGGGAAGAAAGGAGAAGGAGGAAGCAACGCTATCATCTTGAAACTTTAAAAAGAACTTGAGGAAAAGGGAAAGTTCAATGAGGGAATGTGTGCTGTAAGGCCACCGGCTATTGGACGTCTCTAGGGACTCTCCTTGATTGCTGGCGACACCTGGCTGCCCCTGTGCCTGCTTGCCGTAGTCCTCTCCATGCCCTCTCTCTGGGATCCTGGCAGAAGTCACCCCTTCTCGCCCAACCTCTACTCATCCCACAATCCTCTAGACCAGCGGGTCTCGACCTGTGGGCTGTGACCCCTTTGGGGGTCGAACGACCCTTCATTCACAGGGGTCGCCCGATTCATAACAGCAGCAAAATGACAGTGATGAAGTAGCAACGAAAATCATTTTATGGCTGAGGGGGTCCCCACTGCATGAGGAACTGTATGAAAGGGCCGCGGCCTGAGGAAGGTGGTGAACCACTGCCCTAGACCTTTTGAGGGTGTCTAGGAATGTTGCTTCTGGCAGGCTTAGAAGAAGAATTATAAGCAGAAGTAGCAAAGAGGGCGAAAGTTACCCATGCAGGCTCACCATACATTGGTCTCTGGCCAGATGTGAGAGGTGTCTTCTCTCCAAGAACATTCTAAGGACCTTCTTCAGAAGGAAAGGCTATCCTGGGCCTTCCCCTGCCTGGCAGACAGTGGAAAAGCAGACCGCCAAAAGGGCAGGAAGAACCATGGGCTCCTCGAACGCAGGAGCCCTTGCAGTGACCCCACAGACTGAGGCCCGCCAGCATCAGGCCTGGCCTGGGGTCGGGCTGATTCAACAGATCACAGGCACCCCCATTACCTGCACTGATAACAAACAGAGATTCCATGCAAACCCACCACCACGATTCGGTTCACCAGCCACTGCTCTGAGTCCAGCAAGATGTGGTGGCCTTCCGGAAGGTGAGGGTCTAAGTAGCAGACACGCTCGATGCTCGAGCAACCTAAAGGAGAGGAGAGGAAAGCCCGCTCCAGGGGGGAGCCGTGGCACCAAACAGCGGCAGAGCAGCCTGTGTACATGTACAACATCCCTGGGATTTGTGTCGGGGGATGATGGAGCTGAGTGTCCACGTTCAGAAGCATCGATTCCTCACACAACGGCAGGTCAACTGGGCGGCAGCTGTTGGGAGGACAGACTGGCCGAGGCAGCTCTCTTCCAAGCTGCCAGTCCAGCCAGCTCAGGTCAGGGTCCTGTGTCTCATGATGGGGCCCCGGATGACGGGCTAGCCAGCAGTTCTTCCCGTGAAAGGTTTCAGAGGCCTGAGAGCGCGTGCCCAACTGCACAAGCCTATGGCAAGCCCTTGGTGGGGTCTTGTCTGCTAACAGAAGCACACACACAGTCCAGCCCCAAGTGGCAGGGTGAAGCAGCGTGCTCTATCTACAGAGGGCCCTGGCGGAGGTGGATGGGTCCGGTGAAGACTGAGGCATCTGGTCTACCACAATGATTCCTCTGATTGCTTCGGACTGTGGAGGCCATCCTTTCTCAGGGCAGCTGCCCCGGGGATGGGTGGTGGGATGACATCTAGGCCCCTCCCCTAATTCCTTCAGGGACTGATCATGATTCACCATGTTTGGTCTTTGCAGATTATTGCTCCCCCCGAGCGGAAGTACTCCGTCTGGATTGGGGGCTCCATCCTGGCTTCTCTCTCCACCTTCCAGCAGATGTGGATCAGCAAGCCCGAGTATGATGAGGCAGGGCCTTCTATTGTCCACAGGAAATGCTTCTAAAGTCCCAGCCGATTCTCGCGAGACTGCTCGGTTCCAGATCGTGAGACATTAAAACCTGCCAGCCTGACCGCCCTGTGCCCGGCTCTTCTTTCTCTGGGCTGTGCGCCACACACTGCCCGAGGGGCTTCTCACACCCTGTGTCTATGAGGAAGACGGAGGCTCACAGAAGTGAAAGACGGAGTAACACTCAAGCCCTCCAGCTTCTTGCATTGTACAACCCTGCCTCCTTGCCCTTGAACATGAGTAGGCATGAAGGCTGATGACTCTCAGTGGTTTCAGAAACAGGGGCTTTCAGGCATGTAGGCCCCCATGCTCAAGGGCAACATGAGTGCACTGCAGACAGCTTACAGGATATAACGTAGGACTGGTTCAAGCAGAGTCTGACTTGAACTTAGGCAAGGAAAGGTCTTCGTGAGCCCAAGAGTGCTCCTGGGTCCTTTGGCATTGAGGATCAGGTTGTCTTTCTTCCCAAAGGAATCAAAACAGGAAGAGTATTCTTGGGGAAAACATTTTCTCTCTTCCTCTCTCTATTTCCTTCCCCCACTGCCCTGGGTCAGTCAATTCCACATAATCCTACACGTACAGTCTGAATTCTCAGAATCTAGCTGGGCAAGAGCCCATAGACCTACACATAGATCCCATAGACCTACACATAGATCCCATAGACCTACACATAGATCCCATAGACCTACACATAGATCCCATAGACCT